TGAAGCCCATCGAACAGAAACTAACGCATTCATACACGATGCACATTTGGTGTTCAGTATCTTGCTCAAGAATACTTCGACATGTGGTGGCAGGAGCCGGGGATCGAACCAACAACCTTCCGATTAGTGGACGACCCGCTCTGTAGTCTGTGTAGTGGTTCTATTTAGTTGAACTTTTAAATGCTAAATGTAGTGAAAAAAGAGCTGCCTGAGAGCGTATCTGCTCTTTGTTCGAAAAAATGGCTTTGAATTTGTGAATATCTTTGAATTCAGTTGGGAGTGGACCTTGAGTTCAGTTTTTTTGGTCAAAATATTCTCTCCGACTTGTAAATCTGTCAGTTAAGACCCTTGCAGTTATTGTGTATTTTATCTTAAGTATTGTGTAGATACTTTGGCTGCAGCAGCATAATTACAGTTCCATCAAATCTAATCTCATCTGTAACAGATGAAGGAAACTGGCTTGTGAGGATGGAAGTTTGACTCCTGAGCCCCTATCCAGATCTGTAGTGGATACTGCCATAAAAAGATATTGAATGGATGTTTTTGAGATCTGGGGAGCATTTGCAGCTGATCACAACTAGACTGCAGGAAAATCTAGAGTTTTGCTTGTTGGCGTTTAAGCAGCGTGTGTTTATGGTCAGCAGAGAGGCGGTATGCATCGTGACCGCAGTGAACTCCTGTTGGTTTCAGTGTGCTGCAGCGTAATTGATCTGCAGATTGTTGTGGGTGAGTGACAGCAAAGGAAAACTTGGATTGTGTGTTTAAATGCGTGTCTGTATAAAAGTGTGTTTGCAAACACACTCTCCTCCTCACCCCATTCCCTCTAAGCTTTGAGTCACTACATAGCAGAGCAATGGGATCACATTCTCTGGAGTGTAATGTAATGTATTCTGCTGCACTCAGGGAAAAATGCTTACCCAAACAATCGGCTTCTGCATGATTATTAATGGTATTATTACTTAAAGGTCTTGGAAAGGTAGCTGTTGTATGTATATGAAACTGAAGACTTAATTTCAACAATCTTCCACCAATACAACATGCAAGTGTACTTTCACATCCACTTCCTCAAACCTGAATTTTGTGCCTATTGTTTGACCACAGAGGCTGAGTGCTTTCGTTCTTTTCGCTTCTCTGCCTTTCTTTCCTTCTGTCTACCTCTCTGGGGGATTTTTTTTTCTTCTTAGGGCTGGGATAGGGAGGAGACTGCTGGCGGCGCTGGAGTTAAGCAGGGCAGCGTATCCCTGCCAAGAAATGAGTTCACTGAACCGCTGTTTCCTCCAGAGGAGAAGTGATAAGGTTTCTGTTAGAGGCCTGAAAAATGAGAAATGGGCGCAATGAGGAGGAGGATTAATATAGGGGACGGGAGGTATTTACTTAGTCAAGAGACAGTAGTCAACATTGCATTTTGCACAATGACACATTTTTTCAAAAGTCTTTCAAAATCACAAGTTTATGGCTTGATTCTGAATGACTTGTTAAGATGGATCTTTTTTGAGCAACAGATAAACAAGACAGCTAAAGAGGGAGGAAAGGGAGACCATGACATCTGGCTTGAAAAAGAAAATGAATGGGAAAGTGGGAGAAAACAGGGAGTTTTTGACTTTTTAATGGACTGTTGGACAGATGGTGTCATAGGCCTGGTATTTATCAGCATTTATCTTTCATTTCAAATTCGGCCTTTATAGGGCTTGACTCCAACTTATTATGGATTGGTAAAGAGTTGGCTCAAATATTAAGAAATGGCCCAGTGCTGAATGTTTGATTTGACAGGAGTAATAACGAGTGGATTTTTGGAGATGGTAATAGGTCAGATGAAAATGGTGTTTCAGGCCGGTGAAACAGGCACCCGTGAGTCGCCAGTTGGGGCACCATTCTGCCATGTGTGGCCATCTGACGGTCTTTAGTCTGCCAATCAGTTACTTCAGTATTTTCCGCCTTTGCCTTTTCCACAAGCAATAGACCACAGAAAAGCCAAACTCTACAGGGCTGGTTGCAACTTTTATCATATTACGAAAGACATATTCTCAATTGGCGTATGACAAGAATATTAACTCAGATTCACAGTAGAATGGTCAGCGAGTTTGGTGATATTTCTTAAATGTTCTTTACTATACAATGTTCTTTATAATGCAAATACAGAACACTGACTTCTTCTGTAATAACATATTTTATAAACTCAAGGTTCAATTAATGAAACATTTTCACAGGACCTAAGTACAGACTAACTTCTTGTTATCACATTATCAAAGTCTGTACTAAGGTCATATGATGACTCCAAATTGTTCAAGTAGGCTATGTTTGAAGTTCTGGATAAAACTAGTAAGTGAATCATGAGTTTAAAATATTGTATCACACACATCTTTTTCTACTCTTATTTCCAATCAAGGGTGTGGGTTTGGTCACATTGGTAGGGACACAACAGCCCACCCACTACCCCCTCTCCAAATATAATGCAGAGTACAGTTGTGTCCTCCTGAAATATTGGTAGGGACATGTCCCTATGCCCACATTCGCCCAATCCAATGGTCAGATTCACTAAATGTCAGATTAACAGGAAAAATGGATGATTAATCAACTGCACACCGAATGCAGTCCTCCATTCATACTACATCTAGCAATTATCCAGAGAATAAGCAAGGAAATATAAAATAACTCTTAGAAAAATAACCAAACTCTAACACTCTTTAGAGGTCAAAAGGGATGTACCAATAAAATAAAATTACAGTTCTTCTTTGTAAAAAGTGTAATCGTCTCTAATAGATTAGCCTTTTTCTTTCCATTCTTTGAAATTCTGGTTCAAATATAATAGTTCTCTTTCATTAGAGCAGCGCCATAATTATGGCAGAGTGACTGTAATGTTGGACTGTCCACTGTCACGGCACAGTGACACATACTTTCTGCACTTTGAAGAAGTTAGCCGTTGAGGCTGCACGTCAGCCAAACCTTTTTATGGATGTTCCACGTTGCTACAGCAATGGATGCTGACATCACTGCAGCGCTGACGCCTGATTGGGTCAGCTGTAACCAATGGCCCATAGCACATGGAGTTTCATAACAGTTATGGAGTCTCTCCCCTCTATAACTGGCGGAAAATCGGCGCTGCCACCAGTAAATAAAATAAAAAGAGAAATCAAAGGGGTTTTCCATAGGAGGAAAAAAGTCTGCAGCCATCGCAGCTTGGTTATGGTCTTTGTGAAAAGGGCTTTCAGGGAGACTTGTGGCCTTATAAGGTCTTTACAGCTTGACAACATTTCATGCAGTTTGAGGTTGTCTGGTACTGGCTTGTACTTATTAGAAGAAACATTGCTTTTAATGGTCCTTGCTACGCTCCCCTGGCCTCCTGTAAGCTGTTATTTAAAAGCATTATTTTATCTTAATGCCCATCCGGAATGTATTTCGAAATACATTTCTGAATGTGGACGAGCAACTGACATCAGTAATATCACACATTGTCTTTTTAAGGACAAATTAAATCATAAAGTCAATAACAAACACTGCATATAGTGCTGTTTTGTAGAACACATTTTGACATGTCACTGTAGGAAATAGGAATAATGGCTGAATTTAATTTAGCTGCTTCAGTTTTAGGGTCCGGCTGTTGGTCATGCTGGCATTTGAATAGAACAGTCATTGTTAATGTTATTAGTAACTTTTAATACAGTTAAATATATACAGCCAGTAGTGGGAACATTTTTCTTAAAGTCTGGTATGGTTTTGACCGTAAAAATCTTACCAAATCTTGGTCTTTTAAATGTGTTTTTGAAAAAGATTTTTATTATCATCCTGTGACAACTACAAAACGGAACCAGTATGGGACCAATAACGATTTTCCTTTATGTGCTTCGTACTTTTTTCCAGTATGGATGTAAATAGGTCTTAAATTGCATCCATAGTGGTCTTAAAAAGTCTTAAATATAACCTGTTTGAACCTGCAGAAACCATTACAGTTACAGTTATAATTGTGACATATTGTTTGTCACAAGTTAAAAAGGTTTCAATGAGTATGTTTTGAGTCAGTTTTAGTGAGAAGCATGCAGAAGCTCATTCTTTCAGTTTGCTTTGAAGGAAAATATGACTTAAAAGCTATATATGACTCTCCAACAAACATTTCTCTACAGTTCTGAAATGCTGGATTTACTCTGATGGATGCCAACCAGTGAGACATTTGTTTCTATGTACCTGTCAGATTATCAGATTTAATGTTTATAGCCACAGTTGTGTTATTTTTAAGAGTTGAAACGTCAGAGAAGCGGTGCACAGCGCTGGCCAAGATGGATCACGTCAGGCTGTGCAGTTGATCCCCTGCTCTAACAACTGGATTTGTTAGACTGTGTGGTGCCAAAGAGAACACGTCCAAACAAAGGAGGTCTCATTTCTTTCCACCCTCTCCCCCCTTGTGTCTCTCTGTACTGTCATGATCTCTGCAGTAGAATACTATAAAATATCTTTCATCCATTGTGCAATAACATCAACACCTTTCTGTAGAGTCTTTGGTCACAAATGAATTGTTTTTATCAGCTTTACTTCTTTATTTTGGTTATCAAGTCACTCTTAAGTTCTGTTCCAGTCGTTATTAAATGGCCATAACAAGACTTCAGGCTAGGATTCTTTAACCAACACTTCTTTTGGCCTCTCACTTGTTGTCTCTGGAACACACTACCTTAAAATTATTGTCTTTTCCTCCTCACAAGCATTCTTTCTCAGTCTCCCCCCTATTCTCTTTTCATATTTTGAAAATGCCTCTAATGTCTATGTACAGTGGTTGCCTCTGTGTTTACACTTCTGTAAGGACAATTATGAGTTATTGTCCTGATCCAAAGAATGGCTCCTTGCCCAAGATGACTCTTTATCTGTTTTCATTAATTTCATCTTTAGGTCTGGTTTGTGTATACATCTCTCACTTTAAATATGTATAATCAAAAGTCAGTGTAGTTATTTAAGGACTCGTGGGGACATTTTTCACTAATCAAAGGAAACTTCTCTCTCTTCTCTCTCTGCAGCCTCCAAACAATGGCCCCCCTCCTCTGCCCAGCTCCTCTCTACCAGAAGGCTACTATGAGGAAGCAGTGCCTTTAAGTCCTGGAAAGGCCCCTGAATACATCACCTCCAGTGAGTGACAGACTGATTAACAATACGCATCACACATATACGGACAGTAGTTAATGGACATAGCTTTCCTCTTTACTTGTAATTTAATAAATAGAAAATAAATGGCAGTAAATGAAAAAAATGTCCTTCTGCTTCCCCCTCAGACTATGACTCGGACGCCATGAGCAGCTCCTATGAGTCGTACGATGAGGAGGAGGAAGATGGGAAGGGCCAGAAGATGCGTCACCAGTGGCCATCTGAAGAGGCGTCCATGGATTTGGTGAAGGACGCTCGGATCTGTGCATTCCTGCTGCGCAAGAAGCGCTTTGGCCAGTGGACCAAACTCCTCTGTGTCATCAAAGATAACAAACTGCTGGTGAGGGACACTTATCTATACGTTACCACAGCCGGGCACAATTTAATGGCTTCCCACGTAAGATCTATGTGTAGGCATGTGTGCAAATGGTGACCTAAAAGAAAAGATGATTGAGAGAACAATACAACAGTATCATGTTTGGTTCCTCCAGTTTACGTTGCCCCTTTTTTCCTCCTCCAGTGCTACAAGTCCTCCAAAGACCACACCCCCCAGATGGAGCTGACCCTGTCAGGGTGCAGCATCACTCACATCCCCAAAGACGGCAAGAAGAAGAAGCATGAACTAAAGATTGTCCACCAGGGGGCGGACGCCTTAGTGCTGGCTGTGCAGAGCAAAGAACAGGCCGAGGAGTGGCTCAAGGTAACGCAATGAAACCCTAATTAATTGTCCACTTTTCCTACAACATTGCATTCATGCAGAAAATGATCCATCTGAACAGAGACGTGGTTCCATTCTGCTAAATAGAACAGTGCTCAAATAGTCGAGCTAGATAGTTAATTGTTGCGCTTGCAAACAGCAGTTGACAAAACAATCTGCAGTCAAGGTGCAGGTTTGCTTCACTTGGTCCTCATCAGCAGGTAAATATCTCTGTGTAGCTCAACTTTTAAGCTAACACGTCGATAAACGATAAATAAAATGTATAGTTTTGTTAGAACTGAACAAACTTCATTTGCTGATAAAGACCATGTGATATGATCAAAGGTCCCAGAACAAACAAGTAAGCCCTCCTTGAGTGAAATCTGTTTTTTCAAGTGTTAAAATTATTTTAAAGGACCAGTGTGTAACATTTAGGAGGATTGATTGGCAGGAATGGAATATAATGTTCACCAATAGATGCCACTAAATGCTACTCACTGGTCCTTTAACCATTTATGTTGATCTACCAATCAAAGATTGTAATGATTTTAAAATTACCATCTAGTCTCTACAAATCCAACCCTTTTGTTTAACTAAAGCAACCTTTCTTAAAATGTGAAGTCACCAAAAGAGTGAGGAGGCCATAAACCCAGTTTGCTCTTCTAAAATGACTTAAACCACAGCCTCATGTGACTTACTAGGGAGGGAGCTGTCAAACACAGTGAAGGGTACTGTAGACCAATGTCAGCGGAGCTCACCATAGATCATTGTAGCACAGGTCAGATTGGGGTGAAGTTCTTAGGATCGGGCCAAAAGCTTTATTTCTGATTTTTTAAAAATTAGATGCACTGTAACTTTGATTTTGCTGCTAGTGTTGAAGAATAAAGGGTGTAGCTCTCCGTATAAGAATAACTTAGCTTTTGTTGTCCAGGATGGACCTTTTCCTGCTATTGTATGAGCAGTTTGTTATGAACAGGTGGTTCTGCTGGTTTCGCTCTGATGTGAAGATGTTTGGTTTGTAGTCCTTTGATCCCTCTGTCTCTCACACATTCTTTCTCTGCCTCTGTCATTCCCCTGTCTTCTCTTTCTCTCTCTGATCTTTCTGTCTGGCCGCTCGACAAGTCTGCAAAACAAACCCACCCCGCCAACATCAAATAGGCTCCGGTACTTTCTGCTTTTCAACCCCTGCGTCCATTTGTTGTTAGTGCGCTGCCAGCTCCTCTGGGCTCCTTTCTGGTTTAATCAAAGGAGGACAGACGGGCCTCATCTGGTCTTTGGATTTAAAAGAAACCCCTGCAGCCCCCTTCTTCCTCCTCACCTCTGCTCTCCTGAGAATCTCCTGGAATTGCTTGTTTGTCCTTGACTACGTATTGTGCGCTATTTTAAGATCCCTCGTTGTGCATTTGTGCAATGGTATTTTTGTAATCGTTTGTCCCCGCTATCCTCTGCCAACTCAGTTCCCCTTTGCAGTTTTACCAACAGGCTTTCGGACTGTGAGGCTCACTTTTTTCATAACTCATCGAAGGTCTTGTTGATAAATGTGGAGCAATTTTGCCCCATTGATGGAAACACCAGTCTTATTATTTGCAGTGTGTCCTTAACTTCAAGTTTAATCTATTTTGTGTTTATGGCTGTCAGGAAGCAAAGAACAGAACAGTTTGTGTTTTCCTTCTTGATTCAATTACTCGTTCTACATGGTAATTAGCCATTGTTTATTGATTGGCTGAGGCAGGTAACCTCGTCTGGGCTGAGGTATCTGCAGGCAGTCGCAACCAGACCCGTGAAAATATACAAATCTCTGTACCACCCAAACTTTGGTAACGACTGCACTAATTGTTGCTTGGAGAAACTGTTTCTCTTTGCATATTTAGTCAGGTGCATGGATGTTGGAAACATATTGAACTGATAACACTATGTCTGCAATCAACAGTCATCACATACACTTGGCCGAGGTTCTGCACTCACACCCTTCTTTGCAAAACCAGTCTGGATTTATAATCCATGTGCTGTGTTCGTGTCATTAGGGGCAGGGCGAGGGAGGGTTTGACTCCCTGGCCTGCCTTGTGTTCCCTCCAGTCTCAGGGTGTATAAGAGTGGCATCTAGCCAGAGAGATTAGAAGTCTTTGTGTCTGTGTTTGGATATTGTGTTGCTAGGAAAACTGGGTATTTAGCAGTCACTCATTTGTTCTTTATTCCCCTCACTTTTTCTTTTGTCTCTTGACCTCTTTTTCTCCAGCTTTTAAAATTTTTTTTGTCCCCTTCTCTGGAACTTCTACCCAGAGGCATAAAACTTCAATAATGGTAATTCTTGTGTTTCACATCACCGATTTGGATAATGGAAATAAAGATTACTTACGACATTTCCCACCGTCGTTGAATCAGCTGGCCAGCACTGTGTCCCTGTGACAGAAGTGAAGCCAGGTGAGCTCGTATTTAGCAAGGGGGAGATGAGGAGAATGAGGAGAAAGGGTAAGGTAAGATAAGAGGACGCAAGGTAGAGGAGGAATGAAGAGGAAAAGGAAAGAGAAAGAAAGTAATGAATGGAAGATAGAAAAAAGGGGGGAGGAAAAGTTAGGAGAGTACCTGTGGGTTTCCGAAACCTAGTTACAGTAATGATTCTCCCAGACTTTGTCTGCTAAGGATGTGTTTATGGAACACACATGTCCATATTGTGTCCTTACTTCATTCTCCACACCTTCCCAGTCCTTTTTCTAAAAGTGTTATGCATTTCTCCCCCCTTTTCTTCCTCTCCATCTTCTTTTACCTCATCTCCCTTTTGCCTCTTGCCACAGTATGACCTGATTTCCTTCATCTCTCTGACTCATGTAATATCTTTTCTTCTAACTTCTCTTTTCTTGTGGCTTTTCTGCACTATGCTTGGGGAAAGTAAGTTGTATGTTTACTCTGTTTGTGTATCCATGGCTTATCTGCTTATTAAGTGTGCTGTCTAATGCCACATTGACAGACATTGTTGTCCATGGCAAACTGTTTAACAGCGCATGGCATTCCTTTGTAAGTCACCTTCACAGTATGCATTTATTTCATGTTTATTATTATAGGTAAAAGTATCATATCTTAATCAAATGGCATGTGGATTTGAACAGCATTTATACCCTAAGCTGATTTGCAATGGCCGACACTTGATGGGCCTTTAAATACAGAAACATTCAGAAGGAAGAAAAATGCAAACAGCACTAAGCACAAGTAATATGCTAAACACAAACAATGATACCATAGAATTACTAAAAATGACAAGCACCAAATAATTTCTGACATTACTGATTACCTAAAATGATCTAACTCATGATAAGTTTTAGGTTCGGTGGGTAAGGAGTTCCACATATTGATCCCATCAACAGAAAAAGTCTAACCTGACTGCGCCAGATAGTTTGTTACACAGAACCAACCGTCTTAATAACTGCCGTTGTTGTTGAACGAAGTCTTCTCGCAGCACCACACCTAGCACTCACCCCTGTAGCTGCCAGTACTTCCTCAAAGGACTTGGTTGGTCCAGTACCACTGTAGTTTGGCCACAAAAGCATAGATTAAAGCCTGACAAGATAGATTCTCTTGTGATCACGCGAGCCCAGCTGCCTTGCAAAGTTAAAAAAAAGATGTCTGTCCAAATGAAGATTCACAAACGAGGGACTTGCAGCTCTGATACTGTGTATCATCATGTCACTGAGCACTGTAGGAGCCTGGTTATTAAGGCCTATGGATTTCTGTAAGACATGATGGACTTGGTGCTCTGTACATTGGTAGTGCTTGCTCAGTTGCAAAGTGTCTTCGATAAAGGAGTGGAATCACTGTAAAATTCCGTTCTGATGGTCTAGAAGTCAAGGTGCTAACCATGAATTGAATTATCCCTGGTTTAATCTAATAGTATGACAGTATAAATTTTATTGCACATTCAGCCCTAACAGAAATACAATATAAAACATGGTTTATGGCCCTGTTTAATTTTCTTTTGAAAATGATAAGAAATAGTGCAGCTATTCTACACACATACACAAATAAAGATACAATTACAGTCATTTTAAAAAGACCTTTAGCTGTCATACACCAATGGCAAATGTTAAGTGCAGCCAAAGGCAAATGGTTGAAGCCCATGAAGCATGGAGAATTAATTTTGATCATTTCCAGGAAAACTATGGTGACCTCCAACAAAGAGCCATGTTAAATGCTGTCCCATGAGTAAAGCTCTCAATATTGGTTAATTATAAAGACTGAATTGCTTTTTTGATGTTTTGCCAAACGTATCTTAAGTGAATGAAGGTATCAAATACTTTTTAAACTACGCAGCTTTGCTGTTACTGGAATACATAAAGTTTTAAAATTTTCACCACACTTTGATATGGTTAAAATAGTTTGGTATATGTTGGCTTCAAGCTAATTTTATAGCATGAAAAATGAGAAATGTGCGGTCCTGGGACGTGAATATGTATAAAAACCACTTCAATGCCCAAAGCGTGCAGCAGCAACCTGTCAATCACCGGCATAGTGCTTTATTGAAAATTGTGTTTCAGCACCCAAAACTACCACACACAGTCCCACTACCTCCTCAAGTTTGATTTGTAGTACATCATTAGACCTACGTTGCACCCCAGTCTGGCATCGTAGCACTTCAGTGGAAGACAGACATGATATTGCTGTCTGTCCCACTCTCCGGCCTCTGAGTCGGTCTCTGAGCCAAACCCATGGAGCCACAGTCTGTCATTTCCCCCACGAAACCCAATTATGCTCCCTCCAAGCCAAAACCAATGAGCTGAGGAGTTCTGCGCAGCCAAAGATGGTTCAGAATGCTTGTGGAGAAGATGAGGGGGAGTGTGTGTGTGTCAGAGAGTGCATTAGCCGTCTTGCGCACCCAGTGGTTCGACCGAAATCTCATTTCCCTCTGCCCACCGCTCATCTACACACACCCCTGTCACCGCCACACGACTTGGATTGCCAGGTCTGAAGTCCAACGAGGTCACGGTAATGCTCACTGGCGCCCCTTCCAGAGCCCTGCAGATCTCATTCACCCCTACTGGACCATATTGCATAAGGATTCCGTGGACGTAGTAAAACTCTGTGGTGTCTAATGTGTGTAGCAGACACCTCCACCCCATCACCAACTCCTACCACACATGCGTGCATGCTCTCTACCTCCTGTAGTCCCTTCACTGCATGGGCTGTGTTGCCTTATGATCCCTTGGCTGCCATTCAGTAGCATGATGGGGTATGAGAGAGGAGGGAGTTTGCCATACATGTGGCCCGCATTACCCTAGGCATGCTTTCTAGGCTGAAGGAATGAACTGCTTAATTATGTGGCAATGGTGTTAGGAAATATTTGAGGATTTTTCAAATAAGGGATCCACCCATGTGTTATGATCACGGTTAGGACCCAACATTCCACCGGCTCAGTCAGACATGGCAGCATGTAGATTGAACTCCCTTGGCGGTAATCAGGATGTGTGGGAACGTGGACTTTCAACTTGTTTAACGTGAACGACAGCCTCATTAGCTAATGCTGCTGCTAATGTATTTCCTTATGTTTTCCAGGTGATGAGAGAGGTGTGTATTAATGGGAGTGTAGACTTGGATGGAGCTGGATCTGGATCACCAGTGCACAAACCCGAACTAGAAAAGGTAAACACACCCTCACACTGATAGGTGCTGTAATCTTATAAGCTGATTATATACAGAGTTATTACCTTCGCCAAGGATGTAATGTTTTTTATGTTATGTTGTGCAGTTTGTGAGTTTGTTTGTTTGTTTGTTTGTGGGTTTGTCTGTGAGCAGGATTGTGGAAAAACTACTTGCCTTATTTTAATGAAAATTAGTGAAAGGGTGTAGCATGGGACAAGGAAGAATCCATTTTGGAGCAGAATTAAAGAGCAAATACACAAATTATTTTTCACTTTCCTATGGCAAAATTAATTAAATTTGTCAGGCATGTGTGAATGATGTGCGGATTTGCATATCATATTACAGACTGGACTACTGGCTTTGCCGGAGGTCTGCACTCTTCAAGTACCTTTCTAGTTATTTCTGGACCCGGATGGGTTCTGATAGCTGGTTACATTTTGGATTGAATTATTGTTAACATATAAGTAATTTGACAAAAGGCCAAAATGTACTTTTTTAGAGAAAGCAATTGTTCACTAAAGCACACTAATGTGTCCACAAGGGTCTGTAAAGGTCTGGGTGACTCCCACACGTGCACATGTAAAAGTGGCCATGCCTACTGGGAGATGTCTTCACACCTTTACACCAAGCTGTCCATCTGTGTACATTTTGGTATATGAAGCACAACTTTACAATCAAATGGGGAATGTTTGTTTTTGCAGATTAATAAGAACAGCAGAGTGGTGACTCCTCCAGTAAAACAATCGAGTAGATCGCATCACGTTGGTCTCAGTTACCAAAATCTCAAAGTTTTTCTCCCAAATTTTGATGCATATTAAAGTCATATTTTAAGCCTATGAACCAAATAGTTCTCAATCAAGACCTTTAGTATTTGGAACAATAAGTTGAGCAAATTTAAGTAGGTTACACCAGTTGATTTACGGTTTCTGTCTTCCTCTTTTCTAAATAAACTTAAACTTTTACGGTAAAGCAGTAGTTTCATTCATTCTTGGCCGCATGGGGACAGCAGAACACACTGTAAACATTACACTGACATTTGTTCAACTTTTAAAGTTGACGCAGTGAATGACTGACTTAGCATAACATTAGCATTCACTAAGAGTTGTGTTTCTGTTCCAATATTCACTTTCTTTTAGCTCTGTTTTGGCCTCCACAAACCCCTGAGGGAAATATCCACTATGTACACTAGCTAGTCACTAACATTGTCTATTTGCTGTTTGATACAAGGCAGGTAGCGTACAGTGGATTTATCAGAACTTAATGACAGTGATGAGACTGAACCAAAATGTTGAGGGCCATACAACCAAAACAATGAGCTGAAAGATGTTAAAACACTCAAAAGAGCTGAGGGGTACTGCAGAGTTGGTGAAAACTGTTTGTGGGTTTGTCACTATGACTGACAGCTTTCATATTACACATAGCCATTTGATCCATTGTTATTAACATAATATTGATTTATGCATTTATAATTAATCAATTCTGTACCTTATGTCCCAATAGTAAAGTATTGTTAATTCTTGTGAATCTGAGAGGCAAAAGAAGATTTTGTTTTCATCTTCCTCATATTTCCGTTTCTGCTTAATTTGACTTAATAATCCTGAGTTGACCTTTCTGTAATAGACAAGCATTTGCAAATATACCTCCATCCCATCAGGGCCACTTTTCTAGGCATAATCAAACACAATCACACTGGGTAGTAAAAGCTGTTTGCCGCACTTTATTCCATTTGCCACAGGAGGGAAGATAAAGGGAGCTGTAGGGCAAACAGTGCATTGTTGGTTTTCACTGGGAAAATTGCAGTTAACGCTGGAGACATACTCCATACCCCATATGTGTGTGCCTGTATATATGCATGTGTGTTTAGTGGTGGAAAATGAGCTACATCAGAGGCTCTTAAACGACAAACCACTCCCAACTTGGCACAGCAAACACAAGCCCAGCCTAATTATTCATCTTTAACATGTTGCAGATGGTCTTAAGGGTTTTTACAATGTACAATGTAATTACACAGCTGTGTTTGTGCGTTAATGTCTTTGTCAACCTGTCTTTTTTCACAAAAGTACAGTTTTGTTCACTTTGTACCTTCTTATTTTTGTGTATGGTCTTCCCGCCCTGCCAGAAGGCATCGTGTGACAGGCCGAGCTCCGACGGTGAGGTGACTCACGAGAATGGACACAGCGACAGCAAGGACCAAGGTAAGAGTCCACAGCAGCAATGTTTTCTTGCAAATGAACATCGGCTGCTAACAGAAGTCATTTACATCCAGTTCATGAAGGTATTTAAGTTTTTGTTGTAAACACAGAATGTCTGGAAGGACTTTCCTAGGAAAATCCCACTCTAGTGTGAAGGAAACAGTGATTTCTCATTAATTGGAATCAAAAAATAAGCGTAAGGAAGTAAGTAGTTAAAATAAGCAGAAACCGTGATTAAAGAAACATGTTGAAGCAACAGGAAAGACATCAGTATACAACAGACTGTTTCAGTGACTCTTCATGTAAGAGAATGATGTTCAAAGATTTTGCAATTGAGGCAGCTTTCGTCAGAAAAATTACAGTTTTATGAAATAAAATGAGCATAAAATGAGCCAAGGCTCTAATTGAGAACTAAACTTGATTGGAACATTTTTACCGTGGTATCAAACTTTTATATTTATTGTATTGAGAATCGTAGAATTTCACTGGCATTGGTATTGACTACAAAATTTCTGGTATCATGACATCTCTACCCAAGAGTATGTTTTAGCTCCATGTTGGAAATAAAAAGGTTTTGAATAATGTAAAGTAGTAAAGTAAAATAAAGAATGTTGTGGATCTTACTCCTTGATATACTGATGATTGTTTTTTGTTAAATCCGTGCATCCGCAGCAATCAAGCTCATTTGGGGCCACTTTGGGCAAACATTGGGCCCAATTTTAGTAGCCCATTAGGGGCCACATCTGGCTCAAAATTAGGGGCGACTGCGTGCCCCAAACTGTGAAACGCTTATGGGGCTGTATACAAATTGCAGGTTTAATCTTGACCTGCCCTCAAAAGCCCATTTGTTGCTAAACAGGGGGCCAATAGCTGGGCCCACAGTGAAGCCCAAGCAAGACTCCTTAGGGCCTATATGAATCATTTTATAATGGGGCCCATTGGTCAGGGGTGGGCGTCATAGGGTGGGCATCATTGGTCAGTGCTTTGGACCACAGCAATCCCAACTCAAGCTTTTTTTCCAAAGCTTTCAACTGAATCGTATGGTCTTCATCAGTGATTTTCAAAGCTTTTAACTGTGTCATTCTTTCTAAATTGGCATTGGCAAGTACTATAGATGAAATTATAACAGATCCTTAGCTTGCTTGTCATCTACCTCCATGACCAAATAACACGGATGAAGAAGGTATGATACAGTTGAAAGGCCTGGACAAAGCAAGTAAGTGGACCCTGAGTTAAGACTGCTTCTGTCAAATTTGTATGATTTTTCATACAGCTGTGAATGGTTAGGTGTTTAGTTTAGAATATATTTTTTAATAGAGTGAAATCCCCATCATAAAACCATTAATTGTAGCCCGAAAGCACAACATTTATAGTTTTTTTTAATGAGGGGTAGGACATTGTCAATGTTGTTGTTTTTTTGAAACCAACAAAGATTTGTCTTCAACTTCGACCCAGTTCTAAATCCTGAGATATTAAGGCTGCCTTTTCCCCATTAATCTGTCTTATGATTCGAAAGGGAATCTCTGCGAGCTCTGAAAAGGTCAGCCTTTAATAATAATGCATGAAGCATGGAGAATGAGCATTTGGATTTATTTAACATGGGTTTTACACAGAGATGGTCTTCCCCTGCTGAACTAGACGCCAAAACAAAGATATACGGGTGAAAGAGTCTCAGATTATTTACCGTTTGTTTGCTCAGCAGGCAAAATTCCTTGGGGAGAGATATTTCATTTTACTTGTCAGCTGAGTTATTTGGATTGTCAACTAAAATTTAACACTCTTATTTTTTTAGTGTTTAAGATTGGTCCATTTTTCCAACATTATGTCTGAAACAGATTTCCCACCAGCTGTTAATTTCAAATCTTCAATCCAGTTGGGTTTTTATGGAGTCATGGTTGTGTAAGTCATTTGCATGTGTCTTGCTGTGAAACCTTATGCAATGTAGCAATGATCTCCCTGATGAGCCTAATGCAATTATATAAAATTGTTGATTACTTCTCCAGGGAAGTAGGTCTTAACCTTTTCGGGTCTATTACATCTAGAATAAGAACCATCCTTCAGCGAGTAGCAGTCGTCACTCTCACCCTCCCAGTACACACTTGAGCTCCTGGATGGCGAAAGAAAGTAAAAAGTCAATAGTGACATTTGAAGAATTTTTAGCTGATGGTTGTGTCTTAGTAAATTACATCATAACGTGTTGTGCCTTGCTCAAAGAAACAAATACTGGTCTGGGGACTACATCTAGAACATTTCTGGGTTGGTTCTCTCTCTCCTTTCTGTATATTCGTCAGGAGTTGTGGCTATGCTTACACTGCACAACCTCAGAATGAACGTTATCTTATTTTTGGGTGAATCTTATTAAAGAAATGTCCCTTCGAATTCTGAGCCAATCATGACATGACAAGAGAGAATTGTGAGTGCTTTTTGAAGTATCGAAAATTCTTGACCTTCTTTTACTTTGTTCATTACAGCCTTGAATCGTAAGTAAGTATCGTTAGCAGCTAAAGCCAGTAACTTTACCGCGAGTGCTCATATCACCTTCTTAAACGATACATTTTCTAAAACAGTTACATAGTTTGAAGACCGTAAATCCAATGCAAAAACTTCAGGCAGCATTTTGCATGATGTAAAAGATTGGATTTTTGTCAGACTTAACACAGAATTTAGTTTGGATGTCTGGATGTAAATTAATGTAGCTGTATCTCTGACTCTTGTGTGTGTTTTCAAATCTTTACACCTATAGTCAGACTGATTTAACCACTTCACACGAGGACACCTTGGCTCAGCCTGATTCATAACGTTTCTCATGTGAGCCTATTTTTGAATCACGGATGGTTAGAAATTAGACATCTGTACTACCTTTTATTTTCATCCAATAAACACAACCGATTAAATGTAATAAACTTCACTGAGTTCTTGCTCTTACTTCACGTCCTCATGCTTCAGTCATTCTCTCATTCAGTCCTGAAACCCTTTTTTTCAGCTTAATCAGCCACATTCTTTCCATGGCTGGTAACAAAAAGAGCTGATTTACTGGAATCAAATTTACCTGATCAGAGTTTTCCTGCTACTCGTCTTCTGAGGGGAAAAATAATAATAATTCCTCCTTTTTAAAAAGGTTCGAATCGTTTTCACATCTGTGTGTCTGCTTTCCACCTCGGGCCTGCATTGTGTGTTTGTATACTTTTCATATTACGAGAAAAAACCCTGCGAATGAAATTGAGTGCAGACGGCTTCCTATTTAATTAAGGCCGTCGCCATGGTAGTTGTCACATCATATCTGGGAGGAAAATGCAATATGGAAAAAATTTTGAAACAGAAGCTTATGAGTGCCAGAAGAATTCAATATAAAGAGCTTCTGTCACCGTATCAGTTTGGACTACTACTACTACTTTCAACAGCTAGGTGCTGTTTCGTGCAAGGCCAAGGCATTGTCTGTCTGCTGATTATGTACAGTATATTACTGTGAGTGTCAATGTGTGTGTGTCTAGAATTCAGACACTTGGTTTTAGCTGTCTCGGCATGATGGCATCAGTGTAGGGGAATTCTTTTTTTTTTTTTCCTCCCACAGTTCTTCTCCACTGTCTCTTTTGCCTTTAACTGGCAGTTGAGAAAGTTAAAAGTCAAAGTTTTTGTACTGTTTGACATCACACTATCACGTCTTTTGACCAATACTTTTTTTCCTTCCATTCCTTTGCTTCGATTCTCATATGCACACACATTTAAATACACCACAGACCACAGTATCTAAACAAGTAAGGGAAGCAGAAGCTATTTTTTTTCATTTAGACCGACAGAATAACGCTGGGACTGAGACATAGCTTCTTAAGACCTGGCTTACTCGACTTTAGCCCTCCTTCCAGCAGAATGTGCACAGTCATTCCTCTCTTTCTGTCTTTGGATAGAAAATAGGCCAGCTGAGATCTGCCCGCTCAGAACAGTGGGGATGCTGGGATTGCTAAACTGAGTCTAGTTCACCAACAAAGATCTTTTGAACCCACAAGGGTCTGACTAAACCCAATGCAACTGATTCTGAACTGTTTATAGTAAGAGACTCTAAGGTTGCGTTTTCTCTCCTTTTCTCTTCCTTACGATATTGCAAAAGCATCCAGACATAATTGAATCAGCATAAATAAACACGTAACATCTTTCTCAGTAATTTCCCATGTTTAGGTAATGTGGGACAGAACACATTAAATCTTAACATGCCGTTTTACTCATTTCCCCTTCTTTTAAAGGCATGAATTAAATTCAGAATGTCTGTCTCTCTCTTAGGAAAAGGGAAGAAGAACTCAAAGTCAGAGCAGAAGAGTGGGACGGTGGGGAAGGGAGCAGGGAAGAAGATCACTAAAATCATCGGGCTGGGTAAGAAGAAGCCGTCCACAGATGAGCAGACCTCGTCAGCAGAAGAAGACGTACCCACATGTGGTAAGACATTAAAGTCATTATCTGAAAGGTCTCAGTATGCTTCAAACCAACTAGTTAGCACATTGTGTCATCCAGCCAAGTCTAACATTGTGGTTCCCAGTGACTTAAAGACAGGACTAAAACCCACTACCTCCCTAATCTCTCTCCAAGAACTCTGAGTGTGTTGGGTATCACCGTAAGTCTCAGTTAAGTGAATAGTCAACACTTTCTGACAGTCCCTCCTCAAACACGTTCTTGGTGGGTGTACGCACAAAAGCAACAGAAAAAGTTGTGTGAAAGAATAAAAAAAGGAGTTTCAAGCAGAGGTGAACAACCCCCTGGGCTGTGAACTGGTGCTTGGCCTCAGAATACTTGCTACATGGCTGTGAGTAAACAATATGATTCAACAAAAATAGCCCAAGGTGACGTCCTCAAATGTTTTCTTTTGTCCACAGCACAAAGATATTCAGTTTACTGCCATAGAGGAGTAAAGAAAGCACAAAATATTCACAATTGATAAGCTGAAATCAGGGAAGTTTTCTTTAAAAAATTACTTAAAACCATCCAAATAGTTAAAAGTTGACATTGTTGCAGCTCTAGTTTACAATGAATTGAAAATGGTCCCTGGTAGGAAAAAGTTTGGAAACCCCAGATAAAGCATACTGAGGCCTTTAATGAGGCCCTAATTGGTTTAGAGGTACTGTGGTTACAGCCGACTCAGTCAGAAAGGCACAGAAAACATCATTTGACTGACTGACTGTATCTGCTTGGATTGACAGGCTACCTCAACGTGTTGTCCAATAACCGTTGGCGGGAGCGCTGGTGCCGCCTGAAAGACAACCAGCTGCTGCTCCATAAGGACCGGGACGACCTGAAAAGCCACATTGCCTCGCTGCCCCTTCGAGGCTGCGAGGTCAGCCCTGGCCTTGACCACAAACACCCCTTTGCTTTCCGTCTGCTCCGTAATGGCCAGGAAGTCGCCGTTCTGGAGGTGAGCTGCGTTTGAGGAATCCTGCAGTTTCTGTATATGAGGAGATGTGTATCCCTGCAGAGAATATATTAAAGCACAGTCACACCAGTACAAGCAAACTCTGCTTGTCATGTTTTCCTCCTTTCCTCTCTTCTTATGTGGTAAAACTCCACCCAACTGTGACTTGTGTCTGTGTGTTTGATGTTGTTGGTGTATATGAACTTCCTCCATTTGCCATTTTGTTTGTTTTGATTCTATTTCCTTGCATAGTCTGCACACTATCCTTTGCTAGACATTTGCTTCCATTTCTATTCCCTGTAAAAACATATCATTACAAAGCCTTTGATAGATGGTAACATGCAAGTAGTGGCCAGTTCCTACAACAAACTGAAAGAGCTCTTAATTTGAATAAATTATAGCTAATAATGTATAAGTTGAAGGTAATGATAAAAAAGAAACTCTTACCGGAAAGCTGTTTGACGACCTGATTTAAATCAATGGTGTAAGAATCTGGCATTTGGCACCACATTTTGGCCATACTATACTGTTCTATATACATTATCCACCTCCTGTCTGATGCACACTCGAATATCACATAAACTGGTTTGACTGACATCCTGTAAATGTCCTTTTCCTCCAGGCCTCCTCCTCTGAGGTGATGGGACGCTGGTTGGGGGTTTTATTGGCTGAGACTGGCTCCACCACTGACCCAGCCACCCTGCACTACGACTACATCGACGTCGAGACCACTGCCAATGTCATCCAGCTAGCCAAGCAGTCCTTCTGGTGAGCGACACATGCAGCTTCTCTAGTGATTAAAATGGAAATTGAACATGTGTTTATGTTCTTCTTAGCATTGAAATGGCTCCTATAGTTAGGCTTTGTCAGTCTGATTTGCTTTTTATGTGGCATCATTTTCAGTATAGATGGTGAAAAGATGAGTATTCAGCCCTTACTGTGACCCAAGGCTTGACAATACTGCTGTTATTGATCCATGTACGGTGTATTTTATAGACTAATGAGTGAGTGATCACTGACGTGAAAATCTGAGAAATACTTTATTAAAGAGATTGGATTATTTTTCTCCTCACAGTTTTACCAGTAAGCGTGCTGTGTCTCCTAACCCGTACCTGGACAACCCAGTCAATGGCTACGCCTGCCCCTCCGGTATGGCTCTGCACTATGATGATGTACCCATCAACGGAACGGTAAGGACACAGTTCCTAACACGTGATACACAAACATAACACGTAAGCTACAGCAGCTCAAAACACATTAATGCTTTTAGCTGGTTTTCACATTCTTGGTTGAATGTAACTTTGATCATTGCTCTCTTTGCTAACTGCGTTTCACTTTCTGTATAGAAAAGGTGCTATATGTAGCATTTCATTATCAACATATCGTTGTCAGTATGGATTGTCCTGATCAAATTTTTTTGCCACCGACCCTGATCCAGTGTTTTTCTGGATAATAAGGTTACACAGCGCAAACTTCATGTAAAGTTATTAAAATCAATCTTATGTATATGCTTGGCTTGATTTAATAGTTCTTGTGTTATAGATAGATATCACAATTCCAGATGTCTTTATAAATAGTGCATTTGTCCCGAAGGATTACTGTTTTGCAGTCTTCTAGATCGGATCAGGACATCATTAATTGTCTGATTAAGTGTCCGTTGTTTTAAAGAAGAGTTAACTAACTAGCTTTATACTGCTATCATCTGTCTTTCTCTCCTCCTTTTGTCTTTCTCCGCTGTTATTATGTCTTTCCTCCTCTCCTTTTCTCTCCTCTTCTCTCTGCTTGCCTGCATGCTTGCCCGGTCCAACCCAAGGACCCAGAGGCGCTATACTCCAGTCCCAGCACAGGGGGGCGCCAGCTGAAAGACGAGGTGCACTATGAGAATGCTGACCTCTATGAGAACATGCCCTCGCCCAAGCGGGCCACTCGCCTTCCTCCCAAGACGTCTTCGTCTTCTTCTCCTTCCTCTTCTTCCACCTCTACTAGTCACTACAAAACTCCTGTTTCTAAAGTCTCTTCTAAGTTCCTCACTACTGATGCTAAAACTAAAGACACTGCCCAGGTGACTAACACTCTGCTCTTTAACCCTCACTGTTTAACACATTCTCACTGTTATCATTTCTCAGTCTATGATTCTGTTTTGTGTGTGTCTACCTTTTGTGTTTTTCCTTTGTCAACACAGAGTTGTTGATTTTTCATAACTCCCTTTATAATGGATGTGAATTTGGTCTTTTTTGCTGAAACAAATGTCCTTTGAGGAAGATCATTTCCCTGTATGAATGTGCAAATTGAAAAAGAATTATGAAGTCCATGTGATTTGTTTCTGATGGAAGCACTGATATATTAGAACTTGTCTTGATGCTCAAATAGGACCAGGAATTCAAGTTACATCACTCAGGTCATATTTCTATTATTAATTATTCTATTACTATTATTTCTGAAAATAAAACAACCTCCACTCACTGGTACTTATGCTGATATTCAGAGCAGCAACGCTTTTTTTGGTAACGGTCGAACTAACTAGCTAGCTTACGATTGCTGTAGATTAGCTAGCTAGTTAGCCAGTGTTTCGCTAATATTAGCCAGGTACCTTAAGTTGAGTCTATATTATACAACAATAACATTGTGAGCGCTGACAGGTGAAGTGAATAACACTGATTATGTGGTTATCATGGCTCCTGTCCTGTAATATATCCTGTGGGATATATTAGGCAGCAAGTGAACACTTTGTCCTCAAAGTTAATGTGTTAGAAGAGAGCTCAAACAGTCTAAAATCCTCCACAGAGGTTGAGGGAACTTTAGAGTTTGCAGGTTGGTTTCTAGTAGTGACCTCTTTCACATTACACATTGACGTTTGATCTATTCCCCGGAGCTGATATCTTTGAGTTTCACTACAGTGCACCCCTTCACTGAAATGATGACGCTCCTGATTTAAATGTGCCGTGAACAAGTCAAAGTGAGAGGTGCTTGGCCGAACGAAAGAGGAAATTCTATTTATTATTCCTGCAGGAGCATGCTTTGACTCACCAGATAAGGTGTTGATGTTGGCCACCCACAAACCCACCTCTCTTTTCCCATCAGTCTATGAGTCGTGTTCCCTCTGTGGTGTAGTTCTTAGTAATTCAATTATCACCATGACTGGGCCTGAAATCATTCCCGTGTCCAGTCTTTGGGAACACTCAACATGTGCTTCGCCTTGAATTAGACATGCTCTAGTCCAAGCTGATCACTGATATCAATAATATCTCAAACTGATCAACAAATTAGTTTCTGTGTTTAAATACTTATAAACCGTAGAAAGCTCTTGCATAAGCTCCGGTTTTAGCCCAATTTTTATTTCTTTATGTTGAGAAGAGAGTGTGTATGTATGGACTGTGTGTGTGTGTGTGGTTGTCCCACATAGTGTATTTCTTCCTCTCCTTTACAATGTGCATGAGCTGTGTGTTTTTTACAGTCCCGTTTTAAGTGCCACCCTGCCTCCACGGCCACATAAGTCACCACATGGTGTTGTATGGAGCTCCGCCTCTTCCCCGCCAACCCTTTGATGTGTGTGCTGTATGTGGCGTGGCCAAGGGGTGTTAACACTGCCTCCAAGACCACAAAATACCCGCTCCACTGTACGAAGTAGATTTTCATTCAATGAGGTGTACAACAGACTGCAGGGCGTGTAAATCCCATGACACTGGATTTGACGAGGAGCTGTTTTTTTAACTCTGGATTTTTATCTTTATCCTTTTTCTTTCCTGCTATATAATTTTTAGCTAAACAAACCCACTGCCATGTCAGTCAGAGCAGGTTAAGAGCACAGCAAAAGACATTTCATGTACCTTGGTGACACTTACCTGCTTAAAGACCAAGAACAATAAAAATAATTATATATGTAATGTACTTTAAATTTAGCAATATGAAAATATTCTTGTTCTATCATTAGACCATTGTTCTTGTGGACAAGATGTCATAATAGTGTAGAATTCTTTTGGTTTTAACAATGGTCAAGTGACTACGTGTAATGAACCCACAGATTATTATGAACTTTGCACTTCCCTTTAACTCTGCAGTACTTTTTAGCATCTTTAAGCCAATTGTTTTGGTTTTACGGCCCACAACGTTACTGTTTTGGTTTACTCAGTTTGACAGCGCTGTTTGCAGGTGCAGTGGGAAGCTGTTTTCTGCTAAAAAGCTCTGATAAACCCACTGTACGCTACCTTCCCAGCACCGCACGACAGACGGACACAGTTAGAGACTAGCTAGTGAACACAGTGAAGCATTTAGCAGCTAAAAGCCTGATATTTTTTATCAGTGTTACTGGGGACAAAAACCAAGGTAAAAAGTGAGTAGGTGATATTTTGTCAATGTTGTGTTTTTAGCTTCTTCTACTACTCCCAAGTGGTAATAAAAAAAAAAATTAAATAAATCAAATCAAAGGGAAACTAATTTAAATGAAATTAATTGTATTATACATGATACAAGCATAATTTAGTAGTAAGTTAATAACACAAGTTCTATTTTTTTCAAATATCCTCAATGTTTTCCATAATTCTAATAGAAAACACCATATCCATCCATCTTTGTTTTGGTACAATTCTTAGAACAAATAGAACACATATGTAGCTCATATACAGTATGGTATTAATTTTTCTGAGATATTTGAAAAGTAATTTGAAAAAATGTCTCCCTCCTCCTTGCTCTTCACCAATCAGCTGAAGGGAAAGAAGGGAACAGCGACCAATGGGGTGGCGTCGAAACAGAAGGCAGAGGCAAAGAACCAATCCAAGAAGAATGGAGTCAATGGGACAAATGGGACAGCTTCTCTGAAACGCAACAACTCCAGTAAGTAGAAACAGAATGTACTGAAGTGGTCTTGTCATACTTATACTATAAAAACTGACATTTTCAGTCATTTCTTATTAAATCAGAATAAAATAGTAACTTCTGAGAGTGGTCCACCTTCCCCAGTCAGTTCTTGTGCTGTGAGCGAGCAATCAGACAGTGTGTCTGGCTCCCCCGCTCCCAGCCTCACCACCGCTGATTGCTTTCTAGCGAAACTCCGCTCCACAGCAATTTGGAGAATGCAATTTGGATGTCCAAATTACAGTTGGTTTAAGTAGGGGGGAGTAAATAACTCAAAAACCTAAAACCTACCCTACCCTCGAGACGATCCGTGTGACGCAAGTGGGCCAGACCTGAACCTCCTGCCAATGTTGGGGAAGCGCTCAAAGAGACGCGATAGCAGAAATGGAGCCCAGATCGTTGGGAGAGGGTGGAATGTGGTCGTGTTAATCCTTGTGGTCTAGGATAGTATATTTTTTGCCTAATGTGTGAACGAGGAGGGTTGTCAGTCTTCCAAATGTCGGAATGGAAATACCAAATATGTGTCATGTTGGATTTAGAGTATGCCACACAATTCTCAGATTTCCAGTGTCAAATAAGTGTATTGAATTTGAAAATGTCAGCGGTGGTTTGATTGAGTGATTCCTCAGAAGCAAAGTTTCTATGCACTCACATAGACACACAGATGTTGGATGGTTACCCTCAGTGTATTTTCCATGGTCCTGGTGTAATTAATAACTGCTTAAGGCTGTGGCTGTGAGTTCAGTGGGTTTCTGGGCAGTTCATGTCTTACCAGTGCCCTGATAAAAAAAAAGCTATGCTCTCCTTTTCCGATATGTGTTGGTTTGGGCTCTTGTTGTCCTGGAATCTAAATCTCTTATTTTCAGATATCATGGGCAGTGCACCATCACACAATACACTTAAAATTGGGGATCTTTCAGCCATGTTTTGGTGTGGAGTTGATGTTTGGGATTAATGGCATTCTATTCATATCTTAATCCATTATTAAACTCCTTGTGGGGTCGATTTAGGTTTAGAAACAGAAAACATGCGGATGGCTCAGCCATTGCATCGTAGTCGGGCCTTGTGTATCCAGCTTTTTCTCACCCAGTCTTCGTCTTGCAGATGCAGAGCAGTGTAAGTACGGCAAGAACCGCGTGGAGGCCGACGCCAAGCGGCTGCAGTCAAAGGAGGAAGAGCTGATGAAGAAGAAGCAGGAGATCAGGAACCATCTGACCCAGCTAAAGAAGGAGAGGAGAGACCTGCGCACTGCTGTGGAGGCCGCTGCTGGTAAAAGAGAATTAGAAAAGTCCTTATGTTGAAATTTTTTTTCAATAAAGGAGTGCTGTCTGAAATTTAAATTGTTGGGAAAGTCTTTGGTCTGGAAAAAGTACAAGTTTCTTAAACATTCACAGAAAAATCCTCCTCCCGTCCTCCACTAGGCAAACGCTCGCACGCCTCACTGTCGGAGCGACTGAAGAAGGTGGAGGAGAACTGCAGGCAGAAGGAGGAGGAGCGGGTGAACCTGGAACTGGAGCTGACGGAGGTGAAGGAGAGCCTGAAGAAAGCTCTGAACGGGGGGGTCACCCTGGGCCTCACCATAGAACCGAAAGCTGGCTCCTCTGGTCTCCAGGTGAGAAGATCTTGGAACCCCCGGACCATCTTGTGGTTGATCTTGTGGTGCTTTTATACCTCCAAGACAGTTCAGACATCAAATGTTGCTGGCATGAAATTGCCAACAACCTTAAACCTTTGTGTGTGTGTGTGTGTGCGCAGTCGCCAGCGATGTCGCGACGGACCCAGGAGTCTTCTCCCTTCTCCAGCTGTGACACCAGCGACACAGAGTCTTGCTCCCTGCCCGTCAACAGCGCCTCACTGCTCCGCCGGCAGCAGGGCGGCCAGAAGGCCTCGCCAGTCCGGGGACACGTCCTCAGGAAGGCCAAGGTCAGAGCTCACAATGCATGCTGGGGCTAGAGTGCTGTATAGGAGTTTGCTAATACATGTGCTAGCTGTTATCTATAAAAGCTGTGGCTATTATATAGTAAGAATGTAACGGTATATCACAAGATGGTTAAATTCAAATGGACAGATTCAAAGTGGGGATAAAGTGACACTAATTTGAATATCAAGTCAAGTCAACTTTAT